CAGGTTGGCCATTGCTTCTTCTGTCTCTTGCCCATTCTCTCCTACACTCATTGTGCTGGATTTTTTTGCAGTTTCTGAGAACAAAGCCTTGTGCCACCCCTCTTCTGTGGATTCCCTCTCAACTAGTGCTGCTACAGAGGATCACGTGTCCATGGGAGGATGGGCTGCAAGAAAAGCTTTGAGAGTTATTGAACACGTGGAACAAGGTAAAATTAAAATGCTGATTTCCAGATAGACCTCTGGGATGTAACCAGATGAAGATATTACTGCCATTCATTCTAGATGTATTTTAAGAAAAAGGGAGTTAATGCATCTAAAAGAACTGTCTAAAAATACTGTGTTAAGTACATATTAAGTACAAGCATTTAGATCTTTCTAATGGAAATGAGGTAAAAGCTCTCTTGCTTTTGATTTATTTATTTATTTGCCAGATGATGTGCAGAGATAAGATGTCAGCTGTTAGTAGGAGAACAGAGTAATACGCAGTACACAAATGCTGAACTCACTTGCCCAGTTTATACATTTGAAAGCTCTGAAGACTTACTTCTACAGAAATAAATTTTTTGGGTGCAAAGAAATGAGTTTGGGAAGCCATGTGTTTCAACAGCATGCTAAGAAACTGAGTGTCCTAGATCCAGTTGGTTCACTCATTTGCTGGGTGAATTGACTCACAAAAATTAGGAGCTATTGCTGATAATAATGGGGTGTGAGGTACGCAGATACAGTGCCAGCTTCTCCAGACAGAATACTCTTTTCCAAAGTGCTATATTTTTGCTGGTGTTTTCACGTGGGCTCTTGCAAGCTTTATAGAGAGAACTTCCTTGTATAGCTCAGGCCTCTCTCTTCTCAGTGCTAAAAAGGTTTTCTGATTTATGATGGATGTTAATTTGAGTATTCAAGACACCCTGGAAGAGATTCCCAGGGTTTTAAGACTGGTGACCAGAAGTTCCTGGTACACTTGAAAGGCCTGTACAGCAGAGACCCAAAATCTGCTTGCTGAGATGCTGGATACTGCTCCCAGTACCATCCATGAAACACTCCTGTCACTGGGGTGGCTCTCTGGGGTGTGTGGATCCACTGTTTTTTCACATTGCCTGAAACCATATCATATTAGCCAGAACAAAGGCCAGCAGTAGCTTTATACAGGAAACCTCCCCTTGAGCTGTGCCTGTCGAACATCCCTTTTGCTGTTCTGATTCCCTAGTTCTGGCTATTGAGCTTCTTGCCGCCTGCCAGGGCATTGAATTCCTACGCCCTCTGAGGACAACAACCCCATTGGAGAAGGTCTATGACCTTGTGCGCTCTGTGGTGAGGTAAGATCAGATAAACGCCTCCCCCAGAGGTTGCCTGGGGAGCAGCTGCTGGTGGTGGTGGTTAATGTTTGGCCAATGTTTGCAATGTGTCTCATTACAGGCCTTGGATGAAGGATCGCTTCATGGCCCCAGACATCGAAGCAGCTCACAGGCTGCTTGTGGAGCAGAAGGTGAGTGCTGGCTTTTGGCATGTGCAGTAGTTTGTCCCAAAGAGCAGACTGCAGCTCTACTCTGGAAACACCCCTCCCTATGTGCCCTGCATGGCCTTACTAAAAGCACTCCTCTGCCTGGGGCAATCCCACCAGATGTTTTGAGATTTGTTTTTTCTTAGTTTTGGAGGATAGGTTTAGAAACCAGTTCCTAAACCTGCCCTGTGTAATAAGTAGCTTACACTTCTAAATCTGTCAGGGTCCGGACATAGGTCCAACTTTGAATTGTTTGAGGGCAGGGTCCTATAACCCCACAGATGTCCGGAGGTATCAACAGTCTCTCCAGATAGTGATCCTCATTCCTGGGGCAGTGATTGTTCCCTAGCCTGAAGGCCTTTGTGCATAGTCTCAAAGCAATAAGGGGACATGGCGGAGGGAATAGCAGTGGTGATATGTGTTAACCTGGGCTAAGTGTACACCTGTAGGATCTATCTATTTTATTGGTTTGTAAAATAAAAATAACAAAAGAATTGAGAAGAGTAAGCCAATGGGAGAAGAAAATCTCCCCCCTTTTTTTCTTGCATTACGGGAGGAGAGACAAAGGGAACTGTAGAGCATTTCCTTTTTTGCCTTGAACCCCAACAACCATCCTTCCCCTTTTTCTTTGTCCATGCCAGCTTCTGTTTTGCATCCCCAACCCCTTCATGATCAAGTGGTTTTGTTGTAAGTTACAGTGATTCTCTCCCAACTATTGCACACAGAGCATTAACCAGCTGACAAGACAAGGCAAAGTGGTTTTGCCTTGAATCCTTTCACCTTGTCCCCTTGAAGCTGTATACTTTCCCATCCTCTCTCAACTCCATCCACATACTCTTCCCTAAACCTTGCTCGCTCTGCCTCTCTGGTTCTGCTGATCACATACAGTATATCTACATAGGTCTGCCTACCTCAACCCCAATAATTTTTCTACAGGGCTTCCTGAACTTGTGAGTTGATGTCTTAGCTGACCTTTTGTTTTGCCTCTGACTCTGCTGTTTCACTTTCTTGTTTCACAGGTGTGGGAAGTGGCTCAACCTTACATTGAAAAGTACAGGAGGGAACACATCCCTGAATCAAGACCCATTTCACCTACAGCTTTCTCCCTGGGATCGCTGAGAATGAATGCTGATGTTAGTCATGACCATGGGCATCAGGATGAACTTTAAGAGCTGTAATCCTCTGGTAGAGAGCAGATCCTTTCCAGACCTTGCCTGAGGGTGGCTGTTCTGCTCAAACTCAATGTGATTTCTCCAGGTGACACAGGGGACTTGACTGTCTAGCTCAGGAGTACAAACAGATACTAAAGAAATGGCTCACTGCTTTCCTGACATGTGAAAGACAACTTTGTCCTGATAGTGCGGTTTTGACTGAATTTCCTGAACTTCTGAACACAAATCATTCAGACTCCTTCTGAAGCCAGTGGATGTTTTATGCAGGGCCTCCTGTATTTGTTTTGTCAGCTCTTTGCCTGTTTTCTCTTCATCTGTGCCAATGATATCAAACAGCCTATTTAGTATTTTCACTTTTTTTTCCACTTCGTGTAACTGCTGTGGTCCCCTTCATTTTGCCACAAGAAAAATTGTCTTTACATTTAATTCTTCTTTCTTTTGCAGATCATATGTGAAGTACAGGTTCTTGTATAACAGGAGCATTTTTAGAGCAGGTGCTTCACAAATCAGAAAAGCTGAGTGCATAAGAATATGCTATGGAGATTATCTCTCCAGAACAAATATTCTGGTGATGGACTACACTGAATGCAGTTTTCCAAGACCCATATGCTCACATCTGCAGTCAATAAACTGAGGCTTCACATAAGGCTGTAACAATCTATTTTCCTGTCATGTGTGATGATGAAAATGTAAAGCAAAAGCTTAATTTGGAAATAGGGAGGACAGGTGAAACAGGGGCCAGAAAAGGGGGAGGAGGAGGTGTAGGAATGGTGGATGTGAACCACTGATGAGGCAATAGCACCAAGAACTGCACTCCCATATCTCAGCAGGTATCTGCCTGGCTGCCAAGGGCTTATGACTTGTTCTCTGTGTCACAACACTGACCTCTGGCACAGGCTTTATTTTGCAAGGGAAGAGTCAGGACATAGATTTCACATCATGGTGCAGTGATGACATGGCACTACTGAGCTGGCTGTGGGCCATTCAGCATGAGCTGGAAATCTTCCCAGGCTATTGGCTATGCTGCAAGGGGTGGCCAAAGCACTAGTGTGGGGCTACCTTTGAGCATCTGAGACCTGCCATGTTAAATGTGCTCTGAGGAGGGGGCTCATGCCTGTTGGTAAGCTACCAGGGAGACACCTAACCCGGCCAGAAGACCTGGGAACTAGGGCACCCATGGCACATGAGCTCCCAGTTCAGGTCCTTCTATCTGCACGTGATGTGCAGCATCTCCATCCTGTCTCTCCCTCATGTGCCAAGAAAGTCCCTACCCTTTCAGCTTGAGGCTCTCTGTAGCAGGCGTATCTCAATCTCCTCCTGAAGCTGTTCCATTTTGTATAGAATAAGGTATTAATTAAAAATGAGTGAAAATGAACAGCCAAGCTTATTATATCTTGTAGGATCAACCACTTGCTCTCAGCTTTGTGTTAAGGCTAACAGTTCCTTCAGCAGCAAAGCTGGCAGAAGTTCCTACGTCCATGTTACCTATGTCTCACTCCCAGCCACTGTGGATGTCATCACCGTGCCTGTGCAGAGCTGAGAGGCACCGCTCCGGCACCACACTGCATTTCAGAAATGCCTGTGCTCCTTCCCTGACAGCCTTACCAAATCCCTGGATAAATGTTATTTATGAAGGCTGTCTTGAGCAGAATAGACTGTGTGACTGCATACTTGAGATGTTCTTTCAAGCTTTATAAAAACAAAGGTCCACACCCACATCTGGTGCAACATCTGCTTGCAGGAAAACACATCAGGTGGCAGGAATTCCATTGCATTGTTCTAAAAACTGATTTAGTTGGCTAGCTTGGCTCAAATAAAGCATGAACAAAGATATTATATGGGATGGCTTATATATTTCAGGTGTTAACAGATGTGCCCAAGGCTTAGGGAGATCAGAAGATTATAATAAAGCTCATATATGTTCGTGATGACTTTCAGATATCTGTTAATCAGATTGACACTGTTGTCCTTCCCTTAGGGTCTGGTTCACTAAAACACTCTGCTCTGTATCACAGGTTATGTCACCTGCTTATATCAATAATTATTTTTTATGTGAAGTTCTTCATGCTGGTCAGGTGTAGTTTTACTACTTCACCTTCAGAAAGCAAATCCCTTTTATTTCTGCAGCCACCATCCATTTGAAAATTTGAAGAAAAGACTCAGTCCATGTGTATTCATAGACCCTCCCTACGCCAGACCCTCTGCTTAAATACTGAAAAAGCTTTGGCATGCTGTGACCTTCCAGCATAGCCAAAGGCCACTCCAAATGTGCATGCCTGAGCCCCTGGCCCCTCTGTCACAGGTTACTTAACATCACACTTCCCAATAACTTTTACCTGGATCCAAACTTCATTTATTGATTGCTGGTTTGTTTGGGTTATTTTAAAATACAATACTTTTATGGATTAATTGTGTAGGAAACCATTTTAGGAAATGGTCTTATTTCAGATGGATACAATTAGAAATTATTTTATTGCAGTAGAGAGAAGGACAATGGACATGAGGAAGTACCAATGGGGTAATGCTTGGTAAAGTTTATTTGAATAAGAGTAACGTGAGCTGGCAAACAATCTACTAGTAGTTACAAATCTGATTTGTCTCTTACTTTGAAATACTCCATGCTAATTTGATTTTAGTAGCTTAGTAAATAACTGTCTTCTCTCAGTAACTGCTCATTGTCTCACAGGTCTCATTTTGATAGACAACTTTTCCTTTAACTATGACGTAGTTGATCAATGTTTCATGTCCCCCAAACTGGTAAATCAAGTGCTCCCACCTAAAAAGACACAATATTTAAGAATATACAAACTTGCATAAAAACAGGTCACATACCCAAACAGGTCACATACCCATTATACCTGGAAATTTTAAAAGATTTGCTTCAAAATGGGAAAATACTATTCCATGCGTTCATGTTGACTCTTGCTGCATGAATGCAGTGAGTTGATATACAGATCAGGGGAGAATTTCTTCCACAAAATAAACAGGCATTAATAGATAATTTGTTATTAGGCATGGATTATTTGTAATAACAGCCCCAAAATCTTAGGCTTTATTTTCCACTGGAATTATTAAGGAGAATGAAAATGGGTCTGAAATGCTAGCAGTGTCCCCTTTTTAAGGCATAGGTAATTTCTCTGCTATCCAAACGTGGTGAAAAACAAAGTCCCAAATGTTAAAGCACATTTGAAATGGCAATGGAAGAACAAACCTTGATGAATTTATGATAACAAGATCCCCCTGCTTGCCGATCTCTAAGGAGCCATGTGTGTCCGATTTCCCCAGAGCATAAGCCGCATTAATGGTGGCAGCTGCCAGTGCTTCATTCATTGACATCTTCATGTTTACACAGGCCAGATGCATCACCATAGGCTAGTAGACAAGTAAGGGGAAAATGGGAGTTACCAGCAACACAAAGCTGTTTATGCTTCAAATCCCTAAGCACTCTCCTTCTTCCTTGCACAGCAGAGGGAGTTGTTCCACATAAGGTAAGTCTTGCCAAATCCAAAATGAGAACTCTAAAATCAGGAATTCGAGAGCTTGTTTTATAAGCCTCTCAGTGCATATAAAGAATGGAACCCCTTCCATTTGCAAGAATTTCTGGCTAAAACTGCCAACACACACAAACAAGCATGAGCAGCTGCCTATGTGGGGCGTACAGCTCTCTTCATGAATATGAAGACCGTTAATAGTGTCCAAGGTCTATACACAGGTTCTACTAGTAAGAATTTCATAATTTTGCGGTGTCATAAGTATTAGGAGTGGCTTACCATTGAAAAACAGTATGCATTAGGATTAAAATCACTGCCAAGAGCAACTATAACTCCTTCTTCCAACATTTTTCGAGCTTGAGGTTGCTTCAGTCTAGCAGGAAAAAGACACTTGTCAGTACGATTTGGTTAGTTATTATACAACAATTTACAAAACCAAAAGTCATCACTCAGTTTGGCTACCTTCATGCATTGGTTTTGGAGATGAAAGCCCAAATTATCCTCTTGCATCCCTACCTATCCCCCATGTACAACATAAATGGGAAGTGTGATCCACTGCTTTTGCGGTAACAGCATGTGGCAGCAGTCAGTATCAACCATCAGGCTCCAGGACACTGAAATTCTGGTATTTATCCAGACCTCAGCCAGAGTTTACAAGGTGAAAATCTTCATTTCTCAAAAAACCCTAATTTTCCAGTCCTTACAGCTTCAAAGACAGGCTCCCAAATATGAGCAGTGGCACATGCAATGCAATAGTCCCTTCCTGATTATTAAGTCTGTGAATTTAATCTGCATACATTAGAGGATCTTCTTACTCAGCAATTATAATGCAAAAGATCTTTTCAATATCTTCAATATCTGGAATAAACATTTCAAAATTGTTTGGCTACTCAATTAGTCTGGGTAAGTGTTTTCAAGGGTGGACACTATGAAATACACTCACTAGGAAGTTTTAGCCATAGTCACTGTAAAGCCATTCCAAATCTACTGTGACTTCTCAGAAGTCTCACAGATTTTTGAGGATTTCCACCAGAAATAAGACATAAGGAGGCTCATTCAGATCTATGTGCTTGTAATTGTCTTCACTGATCCAGACTGATCCTGAAGGCATGGATACATGCTTACGCTTTTGCATTAAAAGACACTAAACCCACAAATATGGGTTTGCTGTTACGAAAGATTTCCTTCTCTCTAGTGGCCTTACCTTAGCATGTAGGCAGTTGTTGGTAAAAGGACAGCAGCACACTTAGCTCTTGCCATGGCTGTGATACCTTCATCACTGACTTCTTCCAGGTGGCTGATAGCCCGGGCTCCTAGTTCAGCTCCAAGCTAAGCAAATTTTCAACAGAATTACTCACTATTCTCAATTAATTCAGTAAAATAAAGTTGTTTCCAAACAACTAGAGGAGACAATTCACTATTAACGTAAAATTTACTAGAAGAGAAATAATAAAGAATGCTTGAAAGAACAAACAGAGTACAGAGGCAAAATATCTGTTAATTTACTGCAGGAGAAGCTTTAGCCATCCACAGAGCAAAAGCATACTTTCAGTGGTGTTTTTAACAGCCACCCATGCAAACTATGGGAGAGCCAGGCATAAAAACATTATCAACTCCTGTTCATAAAGGATACATTAGAAAATGGTTCACAAAACTGATACTAGTTGCAGAACTAAAAGTCCAACTGCTGCCTCCAATGGGGAAGCCAGAAAGGCTTTTATGATCAATCAAGTTTTGTTTTGTTTTGTTTTGTTTTAAATACAGCATAGAATAACTTGACCAGACCCCACAAGAAGGAAGCAATGTTTAAACAATTGTAAAACATGGTCTCAAAGTGACTTTCTTTTTCAATATATTTGGGAATGTAGTCTTGACTAAACTATCCCTCTGAGTGTGCTCAGACATACTGGTCTGAATAATAAGACCACTGAGTGTGCTCAGTGCACACTTGACTTGTCGCTGCTAATGGGACATTTAATGAAAAAGTATTTTTCAAGTTGCATAGAAACCATGTTTTTGTCATTCTTGGGTTCATGGATATCCACCTTCCCCATCCGTATCCCATGTAGAAGATAAGCAAAGTCAATGTTTGATTAGCCAATGCACATTAGTCCCAGAGGTCGAGATTTCCTCCCATGTCCTTAACTCCAAAGCTGCACAAGGACTGCACTTCCTATCATCTGATACAAATATATATCTATGAATGGTCTATTTTATAAAGTCTTAGAAAAGAAAACCTCAATTTTGAAAGCTGCAATTCTTTCGCAGATCAGCTCTCATAAGAGCAAAAATGGCTTAACTGAATGGTAAGAAAGGAGTACCTCAGCAGATTTCATCGGATGGAGTTCATCACCATGGAAGTTAATCTGTAACCCTATATCTTTTCCAGCTTGAAGGATTCTCCTTGTAGACTCCAGATCAAAGACTCCCTTCTCACAGAACACATCTATATTGTTAACGTGTATTTCACCACTTAGGTTGAGTTCTTTCAGTTTAGGGAGATGGTTACTGATAATGTCATCTGTGGCTTCAGTAGCAGTTTTCCCTCTAATGAAAAGAAAATGTTACAGAGCTATATGAGTAACACCTTTGAAGTCTGGCACATGTTCAAGCCATACATGCACTTACTAGATTACTTAGGAAATAATGTAAATATGAATCACTCAAAAAAACTTCAGATTAAAAAATGTAAACCCACTGTAATTCCTGTGCTCTGAAACATGAGTTGCTTTCCATTCAAAGAATATTAAACTGTACTACTGTATATTTTTTATAAGGTTAGCATCTTGGATGCTAACCAAGATATGGGATATTTTAAAACAAATTCTTCTGCTTTCCTATTCATATATTCTGACCTCCTTATACTGTATTCTAAAACATAACTATTTGAAATATGTAAATGAGTATTTGAATATGTTAAATGGTATACATGCAATATTTTTATGCAAGTATCAAAGCTCAAAGGGGATGTGCAGTATTAGTAATTATTTTTAATTTACTTCTTCTCCTTTTATATCATTCAGAGTGATGGATAGATAACTATTTCTAAATCAGAGGGACCTCCCAAGTCTTAAATTGCCAAAGTTAGAACCACTTTTGAATCCTCTATTACACAAAGATAACCCAGGAGAAATCAGTGAATGCTTTTGAAAGAGCAAATAATCCCAGAACAGGAAGTTGAGTTAGTATTTTGCAATTTTAATATCCTAAGATAGATGTACATCAGTTAAAGGTCTGAGACATCTCAATTCTCCTTTCAGGCACTGTAAGATGTGCAGAGATTGGCCCTGTAGAGTGCCACACAGGACTGAACTGGGAGTTATGCAATGACAATAAATTCAAGAAGCCAAATTCTGCTTGAATTTATAAACAAGGATGTACAGTCATAAATCGGAGCAGAATTGTGCTTCTGGTCTTTTTTTCATTCACCCCTCACTGACACAGTCATTGAGGTTGCTCAGGCTTTGACCATGCCAAGCCTTCTCCTTTTTCTTCCTTTACTCAGAAGCCTTTGCAGGAATTTTGTCTGAAAGATTAGGGCCAGAGCCAAGACAAACCAGAGGGAAACATTAAGTCTAGGTTTCACTCCTTAGAAGACATAATGCCCAAAAACGCAAAACAAAACTGCTGGTGTTTTAATGCAAGAGACTTCTGCTCAGGCACCCACTTTGAAATGTCTTGCTAAAGATGAAAAGGGCCCAATGAACCCTTGCCGACTGAAGAAAACAATAAAAAAATCAGACTTCCCCAAAATCATGAATTTGATTCAAAGTGATGATTAGAGGGACCAGGAAAGAATTGTATAATTCCTCCTGTTCAAAATAAAAACCCAAGCCAGAGAAAAATTTTGAGGGATAGCATAAAATTCAAGCAAAATATTTCAAACACAAACATTTGATTGAAAAGAGAAGAGGATTTAAGAAGACCTAAACTGGAAAATACAGATAATTCAGTATTTCCTTCAGGAAATTTCCTCAAATCCCCAACTGCCTTTTCTTCTTATTTAAAATACAGTATCCTTACTGTCTATATTTTGTTATTCTTGATGTTCATCAGTGGGGACAGAAGCATGCAGAGAGTGAGAAGGTTCACCTGTCTTTCTCACATGTTGGTAAGTTTGTAAAAACACTGGAATTTATTTATTCCACTAGTTTGTAGAAATGCTTAAAGTATTGGTGGGAAAGACTATTTCTCAGGATTTTGACTGAGATCCTCCCAAGGCTTTTTAGAGGAGGAAGAAAGGAAGGGCTAAGAAATATATATAGTTTTGGGTAAAATATCAATTTTTTTTCCCATTAAGTCCTCCAAATTTTAGTGGAACTTCTTGAAAGAAGTAGATGATGCTCTCAGCTGATTTTAGTTACTTTATTCTTAACAATCTTCCAGTTACTGAAGATGATACAGGATTCGTTTTCAATAGTTAAATTAACAAAAGATAATTTCTCATTCTGCCCCAAATACAAAATAATTAGATTGTTTTAAAAAGTCTAGGTCATGTTTTCTTGAATGGGGAGAGGTAGGGCTTTTTTTGGAGTATTCTTTTTTCTTTTAATGAACATCTCTTAAATATTGCCACATAATAGGCCTGCCTCAATCTCACATGCCTTGTCTTGCAGCAGCCTACTGCTTAGTATGTCAAAATATATATGTTTCACATACACCTACCTGTCTAAAACTCCTCATTAATTCTTTCATACACTGAAATCTGGTAACCTGAAGATATTATTTTCATAAGGAAAAAAAAAAGTCAAAGCTAGAAAGGCTTTTTATGATATGCCTACTTGAGCTATCAAAATCATTGTGATTAAACACATTTAGTTTAGTTTTCTACTCATCTCATAGCTATAAGATGTATGCAAGTCTTCATTGTACGGAAGTGTAATTAAACTTTGTCTACTGAGGTACATAAGGATTAAATACAGTATTTTTTGTTGTTAGCTGACGAAAATAAAGTCTCACGGCAGAGACTAAGCTTGAAGGATAGCAGCAAATGCAAGAAGAAGAACTTTCTGCACAGGAAACCCAGTAATCTGTGTTACATCCAATGTGAGAATCAGCTGGATGCAGCTGGATGCAGGGGCTCTGTGCTAAGCTTTCGTTGGTATTTAGGAGTCATTAAATAATATCCCCCCATCTTCCTTCAAATTAGAACTTAGGACAGCCTTCTGTAAATACTGACTTGTTTCAAGTATGTTGCATTTTAGGAGTGGGGCAGAAGAAACCTTTCTGAAAATAACAGCCAATTTTCAATGCAAAGCAGTAATACTTAACAAGAGCAAGCAAAATCAATCCCATTACTTTGGCACAGAATGAGCTCCACAGTACGTTGAAGAAATGCCAATATCCATGGACCTCTTAGCACGTTCAATCACTCTGAGCATTTTGAGCTCTGTTTCCAAGTTTAAGCCATAGCCACTCTTGCACTCAACCAATGTGGATCCTGCTCGGAGCATACGTTCCAGTCGGTGTTTGAAAGTACTGAACAGCTCTTCTTCCGTGGCTTTCCGTGTGTGTTCCACAGTAAAATGGATTCCTCCCCCAGCCTGGTGGATCTCCATATAGGATGCACCTGCCAGCTTAGGGAAAAAAAAAACAAAACAAAAAACAACCCCCCCATACAATTAGCTATGAATTGTGCATTTTCTATCTAAGGGATTCTGTAAAGTGCCTTGAGGTCTCTTTGCGGTGAGAGAGACAATGAGGGGAGAAAAAAAACCCCATTAATTTCTCCTCTCTTTCCCTCCTCTCTCCCTTCCATTTAAGTGAAGAAATGAAGTAAGAAGTGACACAAAGAGAATTACTCTGAAGATTTGCTTCCCTCTGAGTCCAAGGGGAAAACCAGATCCTAGCTCAAAATTCATTTATGTGGAAAAAAAGGTGAAAAAAAATCAATATTTAGATGGTAATAGAAGGCAGCACTTTTATATTGCTTCAATTAATGCAAAAATATACCAAGGCTGGCTGCAAAGGATGCAGTTACACTCCTCTATCAGCCTACCACTATTCAAAACCAACCCTTCTCCCTCAGATTATCTGACAGAAATCATATATTTTTCTACAATGGAAAGATGGGAGTCATTAGAAAGCAGAAATAGTTGTACATTTAAAAAAAAAGGAGAAAGAAAAATCCAGCTGTGTAATTTTATGCCATTACCTTCATTGCAAACTCATGAACCCTATCACCAGCCCACACTGGATGTGTATGTGCATCTACCAGGCCTAAAGAAAACAAAGTAAATGTACACTTGAGTTACTTCAATGTGTAAGAAAAAGGATTATGAACATGAAAGGAAAGTGAATAGACAGCGGAAGCTCCCCTATAATGTCTCTGTTGGTTAGAGAAAAAAAATCCATCCAGCCAAATATCTAGGATTTCCTTAAGAGGCTATTAATTTTCTTTCAATTTTTTTTTAGGTCCAGCACCTTATGCAAAATGTCTCCAGCTAAATGCATCAGTTGCTAAGTTTTTCATATTATTTTGATGACATTTTCAAACTGTGGAAGAAATGATAAATCACAAACTTTGAAAGAGTTCAGTAGACTTCAAGCATTGAAAGAGTTAATTAGATTTTAAGCCTGTGCTCTTTAAAGAAGACAAACTACTTAGGCCAGGCTTAGCACACTAGCACTTCCTCTAGCAACAGTCCACTTACTACAGAGGGAGCTTTTTCTACGTACTGTGAAGCTGACGCTACTGAGTGCCCAGAGGTCTAACAGCTCACGTGCTAACACTACTTGCATAGTTTAACATGCAATAGCCTTGCCCAGGGTTTGGGGGGTTTTTATCAGGTAAAGTTGCAGAGTATGTGACTTAAAATCCCTTTTGCCTCCAACTGGCTGTGGGCAGGATGGAGAAACTGAGTTTTGTGACTGAATTGCTGATGGGCAGAAAAGAGAGATGAATCTGAAAATCACTTGGTGACTTTTACTTCTATCAGCTACATTACTGTTGTGATCTATGATACAGAGGAACACATGTAAAGATGAAAAAGAAGTCAGAGCTCCACCACAAAGCCCAAAAGAATCACCTCTAGTGCCATAATTTTCTCCTTACAGCACACCTGATGGGAACACTGTGATATTCTGTCCCCAGCACAAGATTCTATCATTGTGAACATAGAAGAAAAAGGATGGAGTGACATTTAACATGCATGTACTTGTCACCACATAGCATTCATAGAATCACAGAATGGGTAAAGTTGTAAGGGGCCACAGTAGGTCATCTGGTCCAACCCGCCTGCTTGATCAGGGTCATCCTAGAGCACATGGCACAGGATTGCATCCAGATGGTTCTTGAACATCTCCACAGAAGACTCCACAACCTCTCTGGGCAACCTATTCTAGTGTACAGTCACCTGCACAGTAAAGAAGTTTTTCCTCATATTCAGGTGGAATTTCCTGTGCTTCAGTTTCTGTCTGTTGCCTCTTGTCCTATTGCTTGGAGTCACCGAGGAGAGCCTGGCTCCATATTTTTGACACCCTCACTCATATACATTGATGAGGTCCCCTCTCAGTCATCTCTTCTCAATGCTGAACAGGCCCAACTCCCTCAGCCTTTCCTCATAAGAGAGATGCTCCAGTCCCCTAATCATCTTTGTTGCCCTCCACTGGACCCACTCCAGGAGCTCCATGTCTCTCTTGTGCTGAGGAGCCCAGAACTGGACACAGCACTCTAGATGTGGCCTCACCAGGGTTGAGTGGAGGGGGAGGATTACCTCCCTTGACCTGCTGGCAGTGCTCTTCCTTAGCATAATTATGAACAAATACACCTACCTGGTAACACGCACTTCCCGGAGCAGTCAATTATCCTTTCAAATGTTGCTTCTGAAAACTGATTGCGAATTACATCTGCCTGGCCCACAGCTTTGATACAACCATCCCTGCAAACCAGAGACAACAAAGAACGTACAAACCTGTTGAAAAGTCAAGTGCTCAGTGACAGAGCTCCTGGAATAACAGAGGCAGGACCTCGAGCAAGACTGAAGATGCACACGGGGAGGCGGTTTGCTCATTTTACAGATGCACAGAAAACAATGAGGTAACGCCAAATGTTCCAAGCTGTTTGCTGTAATGCTTGTCATGTCCTCTGCTTAGATTCCTCTGGATAACACCTTGTGACTCCTCTAATTCCAGACAGATAACACTGTTTTTCTCCTGTGGGTCAGTAAATATACAGCATTCCTCCAGCATGTATCTATCTGCAGGGTTCTCTTCCCCTCACGGATATCAAACTGTCATCACCTGGAGCTGGATCTTGCCACGTTCCCTGAGAAACCATAGGGATCAGCCTCTTTGAGGCTGATCTTCGGTTGAATAGCAACGTTCTGCCAGTGGAGCTTGGGGGTGGTACCGGGAACTCTGAACCGCACTTGGGGGATCTCTTCCACCCTTGCACGGGGCTTCTCCTCACCCCACCGGTGGGCTGAGCCAACAGCCGGGCAGAAGCTGGAGCTGGGGGCGAGGGCAGCTCCCAGTGACCCCTTCCCGCAGCCACCCCTGCCGCCCCCGTCCCGGCCCCGCACTCACAGCCCCACCACCAGGCTGGCGCTCCGCAGCACGGCCAGGCCGGCGGCGCCGTCCCGCCGCAGGTACCGCTCTCCCCGGCCGCAGACCAGCACCAGCTGCTGGGCGTTCTCCAGCAGGAGCCGCTGCCGCTCCCGGCCCGCCATGGCCGCGGGCACCGAGTGGCGAGGCCGCCGCTCGGCTCAAAGTCCCCCGGGGCGGGTGGGACAGAGCCCCTCCTGCCCCCCGCCCTGTCCCGCCTCGGGTCGCGCTCAGCCCGACCCCGGACCCGGCCTTGGCTCCGCCCGGCTTGGTCTGTCCTAACTTTGCAGCAGCCTGCTCCAGGGGAGAGATGCTTGCTTGATTCAGTTCAGGATAACGGGACAACATCCGTGCATCGCTCTGGTTCACGATCAGCTCCGAAGCACCGGGTTTTCCAGCTGGGACCTCCCAGAGCTCTCAGTTCTCACAGTACCACCCGGAGATCTCCCTTTGCCAAAAAAAATAGGAGGTTCTGATTTGGGAGCGTTTGTTTGCCCACATGGTCCTTACCTGGACTCCCTCATCTCACCAGCATCCATCACCTTTCCAGCGCCCACTACCTTGCCTGCATTCCAGCAACAGCTTCTGAGGGACCATAACACCTCTCCCGCGCCAGATGTTCAGGCAGACATTAATTTATCCGGGCAGCTATTAATTTATCCGATTCCAAGATCGAAATTCTGCTGCCCCCTACAGAATGAGGGATGGAAATATTTACTATCAACATGGATTTTTTTGTTTTCTTCTCTCTTCAAATATTCATAGAGTCTATAGGGTTCCAGTAATTCCCAGCTGGTAAGTGGAGTGTCTTTCTAAACAAGTGGTCCCTCAAACACCTTTCTGGCAGTGACAATCTTGTTTAGAAACCTTTTCTTTTAGAAAGAGGATCAATTTAAAATGCTTGTAACACATCCATGTGCATATACATATTCCTGTCCAGCAGAAAAAGATGTATATGTTAGCTCTTTGAATGAACCTTTCTGGTGAAATCTTGTTTGCAAATGAGGCGAAAAATGCAGCTAAAGCACAGTAATTTGTATTTAATATCAAAACTGAAAAGTGAGTAAAACTATGTGTTGGGTGTTACCTTGTGATGCTTCTCCACCAGCTCAATACTGCACCACAACATAACCCTTGTCTTCCTCCTAAACTCTCACTGGGCATGCAGAAGATTGACAGGAAAGCTGGTAGAGGGTGCTTTACTGCTTTCAGGAGTTGCTGCTGATTTTCCCCAGCAGTTCTGCAATATGTTTGAAAGCAGAAATTAAAGAGGAACCTTGCAACAGCATGACAGCAAGGGCAGAAGGACAATCCATTGTGGGGGGTGCTTAAGCAGGAGTGGTGCAATGAGATCTGTTGTGTCAGGAATGAAACACAACATGCTGCAGTGGAGCCTGGTACTTGCTGAATCAGTTCTGACAATAAAAGCAGTGGGGAGAAGATGATCCAGCTGGAGCAGAAGAAAGTACTCCCCACCTGCATGCAGTCACTTCTCTGTGCGCAGTGGGATGACAGGCTAATAAAAACATCTAGAATGAAGGACTTCACAATGTAGCACTGCCTTATGGCAATCTAAGTACTGCAAAATCATCTTCCCTGTGTTTACAAATATGGTAGGGTAGATACACAACGAGCTGCTCTTCCTGCCCCTGAGGACTGGCAGTGAACATTAAATTCCCACCTGTATTTGCGCATCCCCATGTTTAATTGCATGCCTGGCCATCCAGCGCTTCTGTGAGCAAGGGCTGCAAGTCAAACAGAAGCTGGCCCGAATGCTCCTTAAATTTAAGTTTCTCACATCTATACATTTTTTGCCTTTTGTCTCTTTCAGCAATTCCGGAGAGAATTTCAAAGAGCAAAGGTGACATTCACAGCTCTATTTCTGGTGATCCAATCTCAGACTCCAGTCACTCAAAACATTAGTTTTGGTGAAAGGAGAAAAAAAGTAAAGATCAATTCTGTGTAAAGCTTTACATCTGCCTGGGTTGTTACACTTTTAAAGATAAAATTCAGTTTTGAGCACTAGGCTTTTCCAAGAGCCAAGGGCAGATCCTAATTTAAATCCTTAGAATAGGTGAAGATTTTATGCTTAGTAATATAGGAGTGTATTTCATTTTCAGACTTACATTCTGCTTGCAGAAAACTTACAGCCGTGCTTGTGTATGCCCTGGTTCTTTTCTGGTGAAGATTTTTCTCTGCAATAGGTCAGCCTATGAAGAAAAAGGTTAATCCACTGCAATCAGTGGTTTCTGACATGCTGTGCCTGATCTATTTTTAAGAATATTGCTCAGAGAAGTTAGTACAGGAGCAGTTTCTAGGTTGCATCCTCAGGAAATTCTAGTTTTATTCAAGAAGTAAAGATTCTAAGTACTGGGCTGTATTTTTTTAATGTTGGCAGAATTCATTGGATGTAAACAGAGGAGTGTAGGGTGCTGGAGGAACCCAGTTTAAATTTCTAAACTTAGAGCTTTTAAATCACCTTAATGTTCCAGTGAAAGTGCTTTTTGAAAATAATTTTAAAATGTGGCATTTTCAATAGTACATGATAATAATGAGAAGTAGAAAAAAAAACAGTGAAAGAAGAGATAAATAAAAAAGTTCAGTATCAGGTTATTAGGAGATTTCATCTCTTCTCACTGGTGCTTTATGTGACAGTATGATACACTTATTCCTCAAGAATACCTTTTCAAATACATTGTCAGTTACATTAGAATGTTTATTCTTGTAAACAACATGTAATTTTTTAAAAAGGGTCAAAGTTAAATATGAGTCTTAGACCAAATATTAACTAAATTTTCCTTAAATTTGTGTTAGTTTTTTCTTCTGCTAAATAGTCCTTTACAATAATACACATAGCATGATGAAATGTCCTGAACGGAGACACTGTGCATGCCTTAACAAAAGTTAATTGCTAGTGGAATTTACTGAGTGCTATTTCCCTGTTTACAAAAGCAGCAGAGGTCACTAAACTCTCAGGATCAAACATAGAAATTGCATCACCCGAATGAAACTGACTTGCAAATGTGGAATAGATCCAAACTAAATTGCAAATTTGTAATGAACGCTTGGCTTCCCTCATATCAGATTGACATCACATTTACAAATATTTTTTGCATAGTTTTGCAAAAGTAAAAGTGAACTTTGCATTTTTTTTTCTATGCAGAAAAACCTTGCATCTCTCAAACCATAGAAACATTGCATTTGCTCAGATGAGCTTCCTGAATCCTCCCTCTGTTCCCAGATTCTGCCTTTGGTAAATTCCATAACCCCCTGGTGACATGGGGTCAACCTTTTTGGGGAAAAACGCAATCCGCCTCAGAGGAGTCAATTTGTTTTTTCCTGAGCAGTGGAACCTTGCCAACTTAGGTGCCTAGGTCTCCTTTTCACAAAAACTGCAGCTAAGGGAAGGAGAGCTTGTGTGCACTTGTGTCCTGTCACAGACATAGGAACCGGTACAATTCCAGCATCTGGCCTTACGGCCAAAGCTTGTCATTCTTTGCAGTCAGTGACCTGCACAATACAGAATTGGAGTTCACAGCATTTTGTCTCTTAGCAATGATAAGGATTTAGGGTCTTCTCAGCTACATTTTGTACTCCTTTTGGGTACTCCTAGGAATGGGAAAGTTTCCAAGTAAAAAAATAAATAGCAACCAACCTATACTCAAATGAGTAACACAAAAAATAAGCTCAAAACTACATGTGGTGTCATATCTTACTGTAAGACTTTCCAGGCTCTTTTTGACTAAGTAACTTTTTACTGTATTAAGTAAGTGGTTTGGCAGGGTATAATTTTTTGCTGATGGAGTGTCCTGCTACTTTGTCTTCAACTTCTTTTATCCTATAAACAATTTGAACAACTTTATCACATGAAAGCATTTTTTTTAGTTACTCTAGGTACCTTATATTTAAAAAGTAAAATTATGAGCTCTTTTATTTGTATCTTTAATATATAGATAAGTGAATGTTTGCAGTTCTTTTCCCTTTCGGACTTGCTCCAGAAACGATGAAAAATCTGTTTGTATTCGTGGGGCTTACTTCATACGAACTAAGGACCAGCTCTAATTACTTAGATTTATTCAGAGTACCTTACCTATACCTGCACTGCAATTCATTCCACACCATTTAGGACTAAAAATAAAATGGTCTTTCTGAGTCTGAAGTCTAAGGAATGTACCTATCAGAAAAACATGCATAACAAAAAATCCCCAAAGAATCTGAAACTATGTGAAAGGAGCATGGTTTTGCTAAGAGTGAAAACTCAAGACTATAAAGCAGCTTATCTCAGTCTTTAAAAGAGGGAGAGAGACTACAGGAGAAAATATCTTTGTTTTCTTAGTTCTGAGTGGGTTCTTGCTTTTGCAAAAGGTAAGTCGACTTGTCTTTTCTTTCCTATTATTCATCTTAATGTAGATTTTCACTTTTTCTTCTAGATAATCGTTTAATCTAGATATAGTATACATTAGGTATGTCTTTTGAAAGGTCATAATAAATGTCTCAGTACTTCAATTCATTTCTCAACAGCCCCTCACAAAAACAAACAGAAAAGATGTGGCTGCTTTCCAGATGATGGGTACAGGTCTGTCCTGGAATATCAGCAGCCTGTTTTTAAGTTAGGAAGTATCTGCCATGTTAAGGACATGGACAAAATGCTCCCTTGCTTCTTTTGTGCTGCCAGTTTTTAAAAAAGGTTTCTACTCATTTTAAACTGCTACTGGATCTTCCTTGTGTGAAGATTTTTCCTAGCACAAAAACAAGCATTTGTCCAACAAGTAGCAGTGTTCTACATTGAAGAATTCTCACCCCATAGGAAGGGAATCAGAGGAAGTGCTATGAATCACAGGAGGACTTCAGCTCTCTGCAAGGCAAAACCATTTTCTTTACCCTCATGACAGGAATTAAGCATTCTGGCTGTACAGCACAACTCCAGACATATTTCTACGGGTATGCCTCTGTTCAGTTGAGGAACCAGTCACATTCATCTATACACATAGAAGTGGTTCAGCATAAGCTAAGCCTTTCCAGTTATTCTGAAAAGCTGAAAGACTAAAACACTTGGTAAGTTGTCACAGTAATGGTGCTGCCTGCTGATCCAGTGCAAAGATCATACATGTCAAACTCACCTCCAGCCCCACTTCCACCTCATGTGGAGGAACAGCTTT